ATAAACAAAGTGCACAAATATGATCATCATTGTGTTCTTTCTAATATAGAACTAATTCACTGTTAATTGAGGAATGTTTATAATTTTAATATGATCAAATAGGTCATACTTTGAGAGTAAAACATTAGCAGTTCCATTTGTGCATTTTGTATACAGAGTGTGTTTTAGTCATGTTTAGAGCAATTTTTTTTAAATTGTCTTTTTTTTAAGAATGGGGCTTAAGTTGATATCACAACATTCAGATAGGGGTAAAACAATAAAAGGACCACAAGAAACCGTGAGCCCTCGAACCAGACTTAGAACCAATCACCTTCAAAAAAGCAATATGACTCGTTGATCCTATAATGTGCATAAATGAGCCAACGACGGTTAAAGCAGACCTCCCATCACCCAATCCTAATGCACGAGCCTTACAACAATAAAAGTGACCAATAGAAAAATAAACAGTCTGATCATGAAAAATAAATATCAGACAAACGATAAAATTAAAATGCTGCTTCCAAACCCTAGACTCTCCTGCACTCCATGGCGGCGGTTCAGGAGGGGGACGGTCCAGCAGTACTGTAGCTTCTTCCTCTCTTCACCTCTTATTCATCATGATCTCCACCAAGCCTCCTTTGTCGCCACCTAACACAGATGCCCTCGAATCCAGATATGTTCCAACCCCTAGCTTCACGCTTCGTCCATGACCTTTTGATCTCAACCATGAACGACATCCTCGAAACTCTCCACCTGTTGTCAGGGGTGCACACCCTTTGACCGCCATATAAGCGGTGTGGCATGCTGAAGAAGAAACCTCACGAATGGCGGAAGGAAATCGCACTTCGTCAAAGACGAAAGCGGAGAAAACAACCCCTAAATCTAGGGGAGACGACCACTGCTATTTTTTTTTAAAAAAATTGTCTAATAATCTTTAGAAAAAATTATTTGAATTAGTCCACCCGAAATTTTTCTCTCACTACGTCACTAGTTATAACATATACTTCCCCCATCCCAGTCAATGGCTCACATTTTTTTCAAGGGTTTGACTGACTATAAAATTAAATGATTCCGGTCAATAGTAAGATTATTTTTAGTAAATAAAATATACATATTCAAAAGTTACATTAAAAGTTTTATAAAGTAAAGTTGCAAAAAATACAAATTTGATAAAAGTTGGACATATGAAGTAAAAGATAAAGAACAATTTACGTTGATCGGAGAATACTGGACATAGACCTTTAAGTAAAACGGAGGTACTATTAGAGTTTGACGCATTTTTAAAATTATGATGAACTAATACCCAAATTTTACACCTCATACAGTATATCTCTGGGGTTTGCGCATAATGCATTTAACAAGATTTTACATCCACATGGTTCTGCCGGCGGGCGTAGCTCAACTAGTGAGTAGGGAGTGTCACAAAGGGTAAGTCTCGGGTTCAAATCCTAACATCTGCGATGATAGGTTGATAGTGGGGATTTCTTATTATGTGTGTTTGTACTTCAACTAGTTTTCATTATCTGTTGTGGAAATTACAAACTTTTGGTGTAACACTTTATTTTTCTAGATGTTTGTAATTTGTTTATATTAGGATTATTTTGGGTTTAAAAAATATCCAGATCATCTAAGGGATCAAGATTGGATCTTCAAAGGTCAAGGAAAGTGCAAGGAGGCAAAACAAAAATATGATTTCGAAAAATTGCTCTTATACCCAGTCGGGGAACAGATGATTATTCAAGCATGTTTTGTGAAGATTTGTCTTATACCCGATTGAGACTAACATACACGGTTGGGTATGATGTGATTTTGAAGTTTCCGGGCTACTCCTAAGAATACCCGAACGGGTATCCTATATATCCAATCGGGAATGAGACCTTGTCACCTCCAAACACCTATAAATATACCCATTTTCCTTCCCATTTGGATATCCTCTCTTCCATATACTTAAACTTAGTTTGGAATAGTTATTCTCTTCATATATTTTTAGCATGTTTAGTCTCCAAATGAAGTGCTAAACTCCTATTTCTTGGTTTTGCTCTTGAATCTTGTTAAATGTTAAAGTTGTGAGCTACGTAGTATTTTATTAACTTTTCCCCTTGGATATCAATTCTTCCGTTATTCTGTCTCAATATTAATGTTGGTGTGTCGCTAAGTGACGATTAGTTAACACTTTGACGTTGGTTAGCACTAGAAACGAACAATGAACTGATGGTTAATCATTGTTGGTTTCACAATTAAATAACTTCGTGTTATTAATGTATGGTCTCAAGGTTTGTAACCTTAAGAGGGATTAATTGTGTTGATTAAACTGAAATCATTGTGTTGAGATTATCAATCTCAATTGATTTTATGAAAGTGGAGTGTTGACGAGCACTTTGTCACGGTGCGTCAAAATAAATTCAATACTAAACACTTATACGTAGTATAGCGTAGTAGAGTTCGTATCCACAGGGAAAAGAATAATTCTCTTTTTATGATACTTTAAATAAAAAGGGGGGATTTGGATTGAGTGATTTAATTTAATTAAAAACTAAGATGAACAACCTATATGTGTTTAATTCAAAGATAAAAAGGACTTGGCATTGCTACTTTCCACTTGTTGATATATTTTAGTCGATCATTGTTATATCTATAACTTATTCCCTCTCGAATACTCAATCGGGGAGTATATCCACTTCATCGAGGGTAGTTATTAACAACGACCGTTCATTAATAACCCTTACTATTAATCAAATATAGAACAACGCCTTATACCGATTTAACAGTAGCATTTAATCTTTCTAACTCCTTGATGAAATCAATTGAGATTGATAACCTCAACACAAGCGGTTTCGGTTTAACCAACAAAATTAATCCCTCTTAAGTTTATTAACCACGACCGTGCATTAATAAACCGAAGTTACTTACTCGTGAAACCATCAACGATTAACCATCGGTTCGTTGATCGTTTCTAGTAATAATTAATATATGAAACAAAACTAGTTGATCCTTTAAGTAATGTTCAAAATATTAATATGAAATAAGAGTAGGAATTAATTAATATTCAAGGAAGAATATTATTAAAGAAGATGAATCCTACTATAATTAATATCAAGATGTTAACTAATTGTCATCTTAGCAACACTCCCCAACATTAATATAGAGGAAGAAAATACCATTCTAACTAATGTCGAGATGTTAACTAATTGTAATCTTAGCAACACTCCCCAACATTAATATAGAGATGGTATTAAGGAAAGAACTATTAATTAATATTCAAGGAAAGAAGTTAAGAAAATAACTCACAACTTTAATAATCAACAAGCTTCAAGAGCAACACCAAGAATGGAAGTTTAGCTCCTCATTTGGAGACTAAACATAGCTAGAAAAATATAAAGAAATGCTATTCTAAACTGAGCTAAAGAGTATGGAAGAAGGGATTCTTTTTTGTGAATAAAAAGTGTGCTATTTATAGGTGTTTTTCAACATCTTTGGCCGGGTACCCGACCGGGTCAAGTACTCACCCGACCGGGTGCATGTCAAAATCAAATATCCTCCACGTTCTGGCGATCTTCAGCATGTTAAAGTGTCCGAGTCAAGTCAGACCCGGCCGGGTGGGGTAGGGGACCCGACCGGGTGAGGTAGTGGGCCCGACCGGGCCATGCACTTTCTTTGCATTTTCGTTTTTCACCTCTTACCCGACCGGGTCAGGGTTTATACCCGGTCGGGTATTTGCTCCTGGGCAGCCAAATCTTCTTTTTCTTCACTTCAAAGTCTTCCTTTCCAACACCACAAATCCTAACTAAACTTTACAACTGACAAATAAAGACTAAAATACAATTACAACTGAAATCACATAAATGTTTACAAACTAAATAAAACGTCAAACAATTAACATAAATCAAACATAAAAACATGTAATTATGCACTACTAATTACTGTGCATCAAGTGTCGATGGTGGAGCGGCGATGGTGGAGCGGTGATGGTGGAGCGGCGATCGATGGTAAGGCGGCAACGGCGGAGCGGCGGCATTCAGAGTGTCACAGTTCGGTCAAGCAGGGTTATGTTTTTGGGCTAGACAAATACTCCTCATAAACATCTTTCCACAAGGGTTCAAAATGAACGGACGTAAAATCGTATTCTTCAAATTCATAAAAAAGACCCTGAATGTAATCTGTTATTCAAAAAATTATAAATATAATCTCGTTTTTACTTTTAATGTCGGTGTTTCTTAAACCCGTTATAGAATAAGATTTATAATATCAATTCGTACCCGTCAAAGTGACATGAATATTTATCTATTTATGAAATAGATCCCGCTCCTGCTTACTATTATGGTTCCTAGCAACCCATATGAAATGCTGGTAATAGAACATGTATTTTACACTAGTGTCATAAATGAGTTAAGAGATTAATGCTACTATCAAGTCGGTATACGATGGTATTTTATAATTGGCTAACAGTAAGAGTAAGAGTTCTTAATGAATGGCCTCGTTATTAATAATTACTCTCAATGAATTGGAGATACTTCACGATTGGGGATTTGAGAGGGGACATATTAAAGATATAATCGGGGTCAACACACATTTCAACAAGTGGAAAGTAGCAATGCCAAATTTTTATCACATTAATTTAAATCACATAAGTCGTTCATCTTAGTGTTTAATTATTCTCAAGACAAACAATCTTAAAACCCCATTTGTTACAATTTCATAACGAATAAATATATCTTTCCCTGTATATATGAGTTCTACTTCACAACATTACGTATTAGTGTTAGTATTAAATTTATTTTGAGACACATAACCACTTCGGTATTATCAGAGGTTACTATGTAAAAATGCGTAAGACCTCTGCAAATACCTAAATTAGAGTCTCACTCATTATCTGTTAGTTTGTGATTATGACGAGGTATATGTATATATCTTTCTAGTTAACTGTCTGATCGGTAGTAGAGACCATGTGAGATTGGTTTGGGTGTGTATCTTTTTTTTTTACACCTACATGGCTACATGGTTGTGTTGCACATTAATGATAACTCGAGTATACATTAAATGTGAACACTCAAAGTACCAAACGCAAATCAGAGTCTATCACCCTATCTTTGTTCTCCGGCAGTGACCAGCCGTCAAATGTGGTTACATCATTGTTTTGACGCCTACTAACCGCCGCCGTCACCCTTCTTCTGCCCATCTTCCCATCTAACCGATCATGACTTCAGGTCTTCAGCTTTAATTTATTTCTAAACAAACCTGAGTCAGCAAACCTTAGCTTACCTCACTCCGGCTGACCATTTCTGATCTAAATATATATATATATATATATATATATATATATATTATATATATACCCTTTGAAGCCTAGCTACTCACCCTTTCTTTTTCCCATTCACATTCAATCTGCCATTTTTTCGTTACAAAATGGACCACCGTAGTGGGTTTTCTTCCGGCGGTGGCAAGAATTCCGACGAGGAGAATAATACTGATAATCATAGTATTAAAGACAGGAAGAAAGAGGTGAAAAAGAGAGTGGCGATAAGGAAGCTATTCTCGTTTGCGGATGGTTGGGACTATGTTTTGATGTTTGTTGGATTTGTGGGTGCTTGTGTTCATGGGGCTTCTGTTCCTGTCTTCTTCATCTTCTTTGGCAAAATTATTGATATTATTGGAGAGGCTGTGCTTTTTCCTGCTGAAGCGTCGCCTAAAGTTGCCAAGGTACGTGAATATTTAATTTTAATTTATTACTCCCTCCCTCCCCTTGTTTATTATCCATTTCCTATTCACTTGCTCAACATAAATCACTCTTAATCTCTTACTTTATGTATCAAATTTTTATCAATTTCGATTCTGGTTTTTGCGACTTTGTAAATCTTTTAATGTAGTTTCTGAATATGTAATTTTCTTTTTCTAAAAATAATTTGAGTGCGGACAGGGATCCGTTTGCTTTATCGTCGGTCAAGCATCGTAAACCGCAATGAGACAATAACAGGGGGACGGATGGAGTAATAATTTATATAATTTATTTCCCAAAAAAGTTCTCCAATAGATAGATGGTTCTCTAGCCTTTGGTACAAGATTTATGAAGAAATTAACAGAGGTAAGATAAAAGATGTAGTGAATTGTGTTTAAATGAAAAAGTAGGAAAGAGAATAAGAGTATATATATGTATATTTATTGAAAATTTTTTCTAAAAATTGAAAGAGAGACGTGTAATGGAGAACACAATTTTTAAAATTAAGATTATTTTCTCAGCCTCGTATTTAGATCTTATACATCCTCGTACATGGGTCATACGCATACACAGATTAGATGAGATTGATCTCTATCAAACATTAGTTAATTGAGAATATTATCTGAAATAGGACTAAAAAAGTTTAAAAATTCCAAAATAGGACTGTCATCTTTTTATTTCCACAATAAGACTTAAAATGGAGATTCATATACACGGGAGAACTTAAAATTGTGTGTTTAATTTGTTAACACAGAAGTAGGCATTTGACCATACTAATCATGATTATGATAACCTCTGTTTTTCGATTTAAATTGCAGTACTCCTTGGATTTTGTTTACTTAAGCGTGGCCATACTTTTTGCCTCATGGACAGGTAATTAATAAGAGTTTCTTTTTTTGTGCCGCAAAAACACACACGCAACAACACTACAAAAAATTATGGTATTTACATGGATTTGGTATGAATTGATATATGATTTCGTAGCCAATTTTTTTGGTACGAATTTGACATATCCCTGCCAAATTTTGGTGAATTCCTGATAAAAATATCTGTCAATCCCGTGTAATGAAATAGCCGTAAACGCCGTATTAGAGTTAGGTAAACTACAATTGAAGTTTAATCGTTTTTTCTTGGAGTATATATTAAATTAATAGGATATATATATGTGTATAATATATATATATATATGAAAAAGAGGTGGCATGTTGGATGCACACCGGAGAAAGGCAAGCGGCAAAGATGAGAATGGCATATTTGAGGAGTATGCTGAATCACGAAGTTAGTTTTTTTGATACTGAAGCTTCCACCGGGGAAGTCATTTCTGCAATTACCAGTGATGTTATTGTCGTTCAAGATGCCATCTCTCAAAAGGTACATACATTTCTTATATTAAGTTGTCTCATGCCGGTTGCATATAAAAATACAAACCGACATATAAAATCTCGGTATACTCCTCCTAACAAGTTGACTTTTTAGGATGAAACTCAAATCTTAATATTTTACTCGTCCTCATTTCGGTTGCCGAATCATTTGATAACTTTTTTTGATTTAGGAATATTATCACTCTTTTTATCAAATTCAAAGCATTTTATTTCAACAGAGAACTATTTTAGATTTATTCATATGTTCTGACTCATGTGAGTGGATTGCTCGTATTTACTAACAAAAAGTAAAAAAAAAAGGAAGTACAATAATTTTCTGTACGTTTCCGTTCATAGAGAACTGAGTGATAGCAATTGGGCAGGCATTTAATAATGTTTATTGTTGGGTAGCTGGAGTTTAACTGCCGTGATACTCGAAGAATGATTCAGTAAATGCACATGCGATATACTATCGTATTAATTAAAGTCAAACTATATATATGCATGCAAATATGCAATGCTTTCTGTTGCTAATTGATAACAACTATAGGTTGCCAACTGGATTGACAATGACATTATATGCTCTTTTGGCTAACACGTGGACCAATGTCATCGTTGCAATATCACTATTACATTTGTAGCTCTAATGTACCAAGTAAGATTAGGGGTGTTTGGATCGGTTTCTTAAAATTGATTCTGCTTCTTCACGGAATAGAAGCAGAAGAGGGGTGTTTGGAGTTGATTGTGCTTCTTTTTAAAAGAAAAAGAAGAATCAGAATCAGTTTTTCAGAAGCTGGTCTCTCTCAACTTTTAAAAACTGTTTTTAAGAAAAATTTGGAGCACCCAAAAGTACCTCTGCAGTTTTGCTCAAACACTAGTTTAATATCTACCTTTACTCCCTGAAGGAGCAGAAACAGTTTCAGGAAGTAGATCCAAGCACCTTCTAACTTTCATTGTCATACTCTTCCTTTCATTGGACTTTACTAACTTTCCTTTTTTGAGTATTTCAAATATTTTGCCATTTCCACTAAAACAACTTATTTGTGAATTTGCTCGCTTCTCTCTTTTCTGCACAAATCTCACTCACAAAATCTTTAATTTTCTTATTTCTCACCTAATTCCGAGTTAACAAACTCCACTCGAGTGTAAGTAATATTTGACAATATTGATATTACGGCTATATTGCTAGCTAGTTAATATTTGAAAATTAAAGGGAAATAATCAAATTTAGTTCAGTAACTTTTTAATATGTGTGTTGTAAGTCTGCAATTTTATTCACAAGCATATTAGGTCCCATATATAACTAATAAATGTTTACAATTTAAAGACTTTTTTCGAAAAGTACACTTTTCGGCAACAATTATACATGAAAGAAGACATCATGATTTCTAAATTTCTTTCGCAAAGTATACTTTTCTGTGGAAACATTCTTAAATTACAAAAGTTTATTAAGCACAAACACGGATGAAAGTTACAAGACTCAGAATTGTAAAACTCCCAGAACTAAATTTCCAAAATAGGAGTGAGAGTGATTTTCTAAAGTAGAAATAATATCTTTATCATGATTTCATATTACAAAAATATTAATATGACAATACTAGTATTACTTTTACTCATATTAGGGCAATCTCTTTACTTGAAAGCTGTGGAAGACGTATAGAGTCATTAGAGTGCTTGAAAAATAGATTCTAGACTGCATAATTGTTGATGTATGATTAAAGTATACCATAGTACACAAGTAGTGTATCTTTCATAGAAAAACAATCAATTATACCCCTTTGATACAACTAATTCTTCAATCGTCAACATTTCACACTTGCCGAGACACAACTTTGACCATTAATATAAATGATTTTGTATTAGTAAAAAATTAAAAAAAAAATAGATTATGAAAATTTACAATGAGACAAGTTTAAAAATATTTTTTTCATAAAATAATATTATTACATTAATAAATAAAACGTAGTCAAAGTAGAAATGTGAATAGTGTAAAAGTCAAACTGTTGCATTTATTTAAGAATGGAGGTAGTATTGCATAAACACCAATGAAACTCACAAACTCTGAAAAAAATAAGCTGCCTAATGAAATTCAAAAATGCATGAGTAATTTAATAAGTCACTCTTGTTTAGGGAATAAAAAACATTATATTCTTATCTAGAATTTTGTATTGTTTTTACTTCTATTTCAGGTATTTTACCAAATTAATTGTAACTACAAATTTGCTACCTTAAAGGTAAGTGGCAAAAATTTTAAAACATCAAAATGAAAAAAAAAATGATAATGTTTATTTAGGTGAAAATTGTAAGTTTGTGTTTCTAGGGGTGTTTGTATTTTGGCGGATTGGAAGTAACCCGCTGCAAAAAGCAGCGTTTGCTGTTGCAAAAAAACGACGGTTTGGAGTAAACGCTTTCTCATTTTGACTACTTTTTTCCCTTCACAAGTATACAATGAAAACAAAGTAGGCCTGGATTTCAGGGCCTAAATGTATGGTTTCCTTGTCCCCAAAAATTTGGTCAAACGAATCCAACCGAATCGGTGCATGTATATTAAGGGTATATCACATAGAGGGCCAGTTTAGTTGGGTATATCATATTTAAATTTAAAATAATTTTTACATAAAAAAATCAAAATAAAGTGAAAACAAAGTATTATACTCCGTATAAAAATACATGGTTTAAATATTTGAAGTAAAGCTAACAAATTCAGATAAATTAATTAATAAAGTAATATATCAACCATCCCCTTCAATCTCCTCATAAATCACCAATCAAACGGACCCTAAAAGTCAGGACCATCATATACTACATCCATTCTTAAACAAGTGTCACACATTAAATTGTACACTATTCACATCTTTTAATTTGATTATATTTTATTTATTTATGTACTCCCTCGTTCCATTAGAAGATTCTCACTTCCTTTTTTTGGACGTCCCGTTAGAAGGTTCTCATTTTCATTTTAGGAAACAATTAACAATTGTAAGTGACAAATTAATCATTAAATATTAAAAATAATACATTTATAACATCATAATTATCAATAATAACTACATTATAATATATACCTATTAAAATTATTTCTCAAAATATACTCGAAATACTTTATTTAATTATTGTCTAAATAACCGTGCAGTTTTGCTATGCGAACCTTCCAACGGGACGGATGGAGTATTCTAAAAGTATTTTTTTAAAAAAATATTGTTAAATTTATTTTATCATAAATTTTCATTATAATTATTACGAAGTACTTTTTAAGTAATACAAAATTAAATATATTAACGGTCAGGATTATATATCGCCTAACGTGAAAAGGGAACATTACACTTCCTTAAAAACATACTCCTCCGTCCCTTAAAACTTTGCCATCTTTCCTTTTTGGGACGTCCCAAAAAACTTTGCCACTTTCCCTTTTAATCAATTATTTTATGGTTTCTGTTATTTCTCTCTCCTCTGCACAATCCTTAACCACACAGTTTTTACTTTATTATTCTCCGTGCCGGTCAACTTTGGGAAAGTTTTAAGGGACGGAGGTAGTAGGTAATATACCACCTTCCTTACCCATATCCACCGCTTTGGTTATAATTAAAAGTAGCCGATATGATGTTTGTTTAATTTAATACGTACACTACAAAGATGGGCGTGTTTCCAGGTGGGGAATTTCATACACTACATCAGCAGATTCTTGGCAGGGTTCACTATAGGGTTCATAAGGTTGTGGCAAATCAGCCTGGTCACCCTCTCCATTGTCCCGCTCATAGCCCTCGCCGGCGGTGTCTACGCCTTCGTTGTCACCGGCCTAATCGCCAGAGTTCGCAAGTCTTATGTCAAAGCTGGTGAAATCGCCCAAGAGGTCTGTTCTCTCTGTTGCTTTCAATTTCTTCAGATTTGCGCCCTTTTTGTCTCTTAATGTGGATATGTTAATAAATTATTATACAAGATTTATTTATTAAAATATGAGCTAATAAACTATTCAGTATTTAGTACATAGTATTATATACTACCTCCATAACACTTATATTTTTCCATTGAAAAGTAGGTGAAATTAAGAATATTGAAAGAAGATAAGTATAGATTATTGAGGATATGATGGGAAGATAATGAAATAGTGTGCTGGAATGAAGCATAAATCCAAAAAAGTAGTTCTAATAATGTAATTTTTCAAAATTATTGAAGGTATGATGGGAAAATTTAGAAATGGGAAGATATGAATGTTACGGTTAAAAAAGGAAAGTGGGAAGATATGAATGTTAATGAGGAAATAAGGACGTAAAAGGAAATATAAACCCAAAAGTTTGAAATTTTATCAATCCCAATCAAATCTTGATCATATGTGTAAGTATGTAACCCTTTTCACGGTAAATTTGCAGATGTAAGGATGTTTTTACTTGGACCGTAATTCGTCCCAGACCAGTTCAGACCAGATCAGACTTGAATAGTTATAAAAATACAAAGAAACCAGACCAGTTCAGACCAGACCAGCAAATTACAGTCCAAGTAAAAACATCCTAATTCCACTTTTTTTCCTTCAGCCCTTGCATTTGCTCTTACTTCTCAAAGAGTAATTCATTTGGTTTTGGTCTCAAAAGATGTTTGGTTAGTGGTAATGAAATGTGACCAGATGTATAATGGCAATTTAAATTTCCACTGCAGTTGATATTTGATTACATTGCATTCCACTGCATTACATTTATCCCTGCAGGGATAATTTGGAATTTAAAACTTAGTTCTATACATTTTGAAAAGTGGGAAGGAAAAATAATCAAATTGGCAGTTGTGACTCAAAAGTTACAACCTTGGCATAGTCAAGTGGCAGGAAGTGAAATTAACTGTTATTTCACCCAAGCTGAATTATTGAGAACATTACACAACGTTCTTCCCAATCCTTGTAAACTACAATCAATGTTTTTTTCCATTAGCCTCAGCTAGTCTGTCCTGATTTGAGCTATATATATTATATCATTTTCACAGGTGGTTGGTAATGTCAGAACAGTGCAAGCGTTTACAGGAGAAGAGAAGGCAGTGAAGTCATACACAGATGCGTTAATCGGCACTTACAAGTATGGAAAGAAGGCAGGGCTAGCCAAAGGGCTTGGACTCGGCACCTTACATTGTGTCCTTTTCCTTTCTTGGTCATTGCTTGTTTGGTTCACTAGCATAGTTGTCCACAAAAACATCGGGAATGGAGGAAATGCTTTTACCACCATGCTTAACGTTGTCATCGCTGGCCTGTATGCATTTCTTTTCCTTATATATATATATATATAGTTAAATTACTTAAATATTTATATACACATCTATCTAAACTCCTCGTTCAAGTTTTTTACTAAATCCATTTTGTAAACTTGTAGTGCTTGATGAAGTGTTCTAACCGCCATCGCTTTTTTTGCAAGGTCACTGGGGCAGGCAGCACCGGATGTTACAGCTTTTATCCGTGCCAAGGCAGCTGCTTATCCTATTTTTGAGATGATCGAGAAAAATGTGGCCAACAAAACTGGCTCAAAGAGTGGGAGGAAACTGAACAAATTAGATGGACACATCCAATTCAAGGATGTCTCTTTCAGCTACCCATCACGTCCTGATCTTTTGATCTTTAACAAGTTGTGTCTTGATACCCCCCCTGGCAAGATTGTAGCTTTTGTAGGAGGAAGTGGATCAGGGAAGAGCACAGTTGTGTCTTTGATTGAACGCTTTTATGAGCCCAGTTCAGGTCAGATATTATTGGACGGAACTGACAGTAGAGAGCTTGATCTCAAGTGGCTCAGACAGCAAATTGGGTTGGTTAATCAAGAACCTGCCCTTTTTGCCACAACCATAAAGGAAAACATTCTTTATGGAAAAGAGGATGCTACCCTTGAAGATATTGTTCAAGCTGCAAAACTCTCAGGGGCAATCTCCTTCATCAACAACCTACCTGATAGATTTGAAACTCAGGTAATTCAGACGACTTAAGTTCTCAACAAAGTAATGAACATTGACCACACACTAAATATGTTATGTAATGAAAAGGATCGACTTCCTTATTTTGCTTCCTTATGTTATCTGATTACAGTCTTAGGTAATTCACTAGTCATCATTAACACATGTTGATGGAAACATTAGGTGAAACTTGAAAGGTGTAGTATTTTCATTTTAAAGTGAAAACAATTTCATTATTTGGTTGGTTTCAATTAGTATACTAAATCAATCCGACGTTCTTCTAGACTATGTAATGGGAATATGGGATGGAATTTCATAATAACATGTTAATATCATCTATCCTTTTACAGGTGGGTGAGAGAGGAGTACAATTATCGGGTGGACAGAAGCAGAGAATTGCAATTTCTCGTGCAATTGTGAAGAATCCTGCGATACTTTTGTTAGATGAAGCTACAAGTGCACTTGATGCGGAATCAGAGAAGAATGTGCAGGAGGCTCTTGATCGTGTGATGGTCGGACGGACAACTATAATGGTTGCTCATCGTCTCTCCACCATTAGAAATGCTGACACCATAGCTGTTCTCCAAAGTGGAAAAGTATTAGAAAGTGGAAGCCATGAGGAGCTCATTTTGAAGCCGAATGGAGCATATGCATCTCTTGTTAAAGTTCAAGAGGCAGCTTCATTTAATCTTCTTCCATCACATGGGTCTAATATAGGGCAATCTCTCAGGTATCGGATTTACATTTTTCATCAGTTTCATCGTTATCTCATAATTTGTCTTATTTATACACCAAGGTTTTTTTTTGTTGACCAGTATTCCAGTTCCATTGCTCCTTGATTTTTTGAGCTCATGCAAATGATGCCATTTAATGTTTTCACTTACAAATAGAAGCAGAGTTATATGATGTGCATGTTGATTTAGTACATAAGTATAGGCTGTATAGCAATTTTCTCACCCTCATCACCATGTAATGATGTTTTTCTTGCATGGAAACCTACCATGATGTATTTCATGCATGATTAAGACATGAAGGGCATCTGACCTAAAATTTTGACACTGCATGAATTTATAGTGTTTACTAGCTTGAGACTATTAATTGGCACTAAATTTCATGTCGCGACTCCAATATAGTTGGGACAAAGGTGGTTATGATGGTTATGATCATTACGGATAACAGCAAACACATTAATCTCATCAAATGTTGTATTGCCCAAATTCTTTTTTGTTTATGAATTTCTCCCTTTAAACAGAAGCGATGTATCTAAGAATTTGTTTTTCCTTAATTCTTTACAGTACCAGGTATTCCCATGAAGGAAGTATGAGATATTCCCGTGAATTATCCCGAACAACATCAAGAAGTATAGGCGCTAGTTTTCGCTCCGATAAATCACATAGTAAATTTGGTGATGATGGTGGAGAGAGCATTGCGACATTTCCTGTTTCTTCAAAGAGGTTGTATGCTATGGTTGGCCCAGACTGGTATTATGGAGTTATTGGGACAATTTGTCTATTTATTGCTGGAGCTCAGATGCCACTCTTTGCTCTTGGGGTAACTCAGGCCCTCGTATCTTACTACATGGACTGGGACACAACACGCCATGAAATCAAGAAAATTTGCTTACTTTTCTGTGGAGGTGCCTTTTTAACTGTAATTGTTCATGCCATTGCCCATTGTTGCTTTGGGATCATGGGGGAGCGGCTTACATTTCGTGTGAGAGAGAGGATGTTTTCTGGTAAATTCTTTATCATTGCATATCACTAGTAGTGATTCTTACCAAATTTGCATTGATAAAGAGTGTTGTTAAATGTTATTCTGTTAAGCATCCTTTTTTGTCCTGATTGCAGAAACACTAAATGTAATTTTACTTTCTGCAGCTATGCTTAGAAATGAGATAGGATGGTTTGATGCCATGGACAACACAAGTTCTATGCTCGCTTCACGCTTAGAAAGTGATGCAACTCTTCTGCGAGCAGTAGTTGTTGATCGCACCAGTATTCTCATACAAAATATAGGCTTGGTGGTCACTTCATTCATCATCGCTTTTATCTTAAGTTGGAGGCTTACTCTCGTTGTCATTGCAACTTATCCTCTTATCGTCTGTGGCCACATCAGCGAGGTCAGATCTCATGTCAATGTAACATAGTCGTACTCTGTAACCCGAAAAAATTGATGAACTTGTTATTAAGCTCTTACTATTATTTCAGAAACTATTTATGAAGGGCTTTGGTGGTGACTTAGATAGAGCTTATCTGAAAGCAAATACATTTGCTGGTGAGGCTGTGAGTAATATTCGAACTGTTGCAGCTTTCTGTTCTGAGGAGAAGGTTCTCGACTTGTATGCTCGTGAACTTGAAGAACCCTCAAAGCATTCGTTTTATCGTGGTCAAGTTGCTGGGATACTTTATGGAGTGTCTCAGTTCTTTATCTTCTCATCTTATGCTCTTGCATTATGGTATGTTGCTCCTTTCTCATGTGATGGACACGTATTAACACCACCATTAGAGCAATCATCAGTGCTCAGCTATACCACTTATATCTTTTTTGAAACTGGTTTAGTAAATTCTAGATGATATAATTCATTAACTTCACTGTTAGAATATTTAAATAATGTCTATACATTTATGACTATATTTCTTTTCAGGTATGGTTCTGTACTGATGGGAAAGGAGATTTCCAGCTTTCAGTCAGTCATGAAGTCTTTTATGGTTCTGATTGTAACGGCTTTGGCCATGGGAGAGACCCTTGCAATGGCACCAGACCTCCTAAAAGGAAACCAAATGTTATCATCAATATTCGAAGTACTTGATCGCAAGACTGAGATTTCAAGTGATGTGGGGGAAGTGTTAACAAAAGTAGAAGGCACAATTGAGCTCAAGGATGTAGAGTTCAGCTACCCTTCAAGGCCTGATGCTTTGATTTTTAACAAGTTCAGCATGAGGGTGCGGCCAGGCCAAAGCATGGCATTAGTAGGACAGAGTGGTTCTGGTAAAAGCACAGTCATCTCTCTCATATTGAGGTTCTATGATCCAACATCAGGGAAAGTTATAATTGATGGTTAGTATTTCCGTGTTAAATTTGTAGTTAATACTTGACTTGTTTTTTAACTCTATACTACTCCCCTGTCGCTAAATTAAGTTCTAACATTCCGTTGCGGGATGTTCAAAATTAAGTTTGCACCCTTTTTTGGTAATATTTGTGTACTAAAGACACTTTTACCCCTATTAGTAGTACACTAGTACTTATTCACTTTCTCCACCAGATTCTCTACTGTGTGGGAGCTTCAGCAGCGTGTGAGCTCTTTACTATTACTTCTGCCTTTCTGTAAACAGGTAAAGACATCAAGAGACTAAAGCTCAAGTCTCTAAGGAAGCACATAGGCCTGGTCCAGCAAGAACCAGCACTTTTTGCCACATCAATCCACGCAAACATTCTGTATGGAAAAGAAGGAGCATCAGAGGCAGAAGTGATTGAAGCAGCAAAGGTAGCCAATGCCCATAGTTTCATTAGTGCTCTCCCAGAAGGCTACTTGACCAAGGTAGGAGAGCGAGGCGTGCAGCTCTCTGGAGGACAAAAGCAGAGGGTAGCCATAGCTCGAGCTGTCCTAAAGAACCCGGAAATATTGCTCTTGGATGAAGCCACTAGTGCACTTGATGTCGAGTCAGAGCGAATAGTTCAACAAGCTGTGGACAGGTTGATGAAAAGCCGGACATCTGTTATTGTGGCACATAGATTATCAACCATTAAAAATGCAGACCAGATATGTGTTTTACAAGATGGAAAAATAATAGAGGAGGGGCCTCATTCTACACTGGTAGAGAACAAGAATGGAGCATATTATAAGTTGATTAATCTACAACAGCATCAACAAGAATATTAGAAGTTGTCTGGGTATTGATATATCTAATTCCATGTATATATTGTAATTATTAAGAGTGTGATGTTTATGTGGTAATCATAAATTATGTTCCTTAGAGGAACACATGCTCTTTCCTATTATTGGAGCTGTGGTTGTTGACAGTTTCATGGTGATGGAAGAACAAGAGATCTGGATGGCGGTCACTATGGACATAAGAGCAGTGGGCAAGTTGTAATTAGAGTCCAAACAAGCTGAGCTGAGCCTGAGTTTAGAACATTTCTGCTGGCTTGAGCTCAATGGATCTGGTCCTATAATCAGGTTGACTGTTTTCCACCCTGAAACAGACCGGGGACACTACTGGGGTGGCCTCAAGTGGCCATGACATGTAGGATATTGATGTTTAAGCAGTGAATATATATGGGAACCTTACTATGATGGATCGAGAATAGAATTTGCATAACCATTGGACTTGACATAAAATATTTTTGTGGGCTGAATATAAACAGGTCTTGCTAAATACAGTTCTTAAAAGTACTTCACGGAATTTAGTAAATCGGATTTTTTTTCCCTGGAATTCTTGAAACCTTTTTACCGAGTACATATCAGAATACATTGTTTTGATGTTATTTTACACTTCATAGTAAATATTTGTTCATTGTAGTAGTGTGAATTGGTAAGAAAACTTTATGGAGGGAGTACAAAATATGCCTATATACTCCGTATCATATAAATACCCTTCACAACTAGTAATAGTGGCATAATAGTATTGACCTTTCAGGGGTTTTATCAACATTTTTGGTGAGGACTTAATTTGTACTTCTCCAAACCGCTCAATTTATCAATTAGTTATAAATGCTCGTGAATAACATATTTATAGAATATTACTTCTGGATCATGCATGTTTGCCAGTGATTTGTCTTGTGTTGCTAAATATTTATCAAATATTATTATTCACTATTTTTTAATTTAAGTTTTAAACACTATTATTATTTAGAAATTGCCCTAAATAGGAGTAAAAAAGTTATGAAATTCTCAAACAGGACTTTCATGATTTTATTCCCTAAATAGAAGTAACTCTGCCAAGTTTGAAAAAAAATGTCACGTTTACAGCCTAGTAATGCCAGACTTTGCAGAAATTTACTTCTATTCAGGGAATAAAAAACATGATAGTCCTATTTTGGAATTCAAAACTTTTTTACTCCCATTTAGGGAATTCTTTCTTTATTATTGTGCTCAAAATTGTTTGGTCTAGCAAGCTATTACAGGAAGTTTACGGGAATATTCTCTATTTTGACATTCCCATTACGGAATCTCACCTTAAATTGAATATATACCAGATTGATAAAAGCACAAGTCCATGCTCCAACAGTACAATGGCTAGGTCAGGATGTCTTTTATTTAAACCGTTCCATTTGAAGGTCTCATGAATGAGACACTTGTTATATACTACGTCCCGCTTAAAGCTAAGGTTTTCATTCCAAAATGACATAATTATTTAGATAATAATTAAATAAGGCAATTCGATTTTGAGAAATATTTTTAATAGATATATAATACAATGAGGTCATTGATGATAATTATAATATTATAAATGTATTCTTTTTAATATTTGATGATTAAATTGTTATTTAAGAGCATTAATTGTTTACTAAAATAGAAATGAGAACTTTTATATGAGATGTTCATTTTTTTTATACCTTAGAATAGGGCTAATGGAATATCATATACTCCGTCGTTATCGTATCCTCCGTTCTCACTAGTAGAATAGGGCTGATGGAATAACATATAGTTATCGTATCCCCCGTCCTCACTAGTACTAGAAGAGTTGTTGTACTAACCACACTCGGGGTCCTTGCATATTTTTTAGTTTTGATTGGTCTTTGGAGTAAAAGCATGATTTGTTCTTCCGGCTTTATATTTTAAACAAGAATAATAATGCTCATGGATATTTATTTTAAATGATACTCCGTATTTGGTTTAGACCTTGCACGCTCATTTTAGTCGTGTGGCATTGACTAAACGTTGACTTTGCCCAAGAGCATTGAATTTAAGAGTGTTTGATACCACCTTCGTCTCTCAAAACTTTACATTTTTATCTTTTAAAGTATAAACTTTGATCAATGATTTTGATTAGTATAATTATATAAAAGTTTAATGTAAATCTTGTATCACGAGCATAGTTGTTTATCCTTCCAAAACATAGAAAATTTTGGTGATTCAAGAGGATGAGTCATTTGTAACGTTAGCTCTGACAACAATGGCGATCAACATATGTACTACTGATCATGCTTCGAGGAATAGAACCATAATTTATGGAGATGAAGAGTGTATGTGTTAAGAAGGGCATACCAATGATTAAAAAAATCAAAGCCCTAAACACTAGATGGGGCCGTCACACAATAAAGAAATTAATGTGCTTGATTAGTGACAATTAATATCAATCATTGCTCACCCAATATTATAATTGCATATTATATAGCCCATACTCAAACGCGAAAATCATGTGGAAACTTGAAATATCAACTTTTACTAAAAAACGCTTATTTAAAGAATTATCAAAGAGTTTTCGTAAAGTTTTCGAAACGAAAAACACTTTTATTGGACATATTTCTTTCAAATTCTAATGTTTTAATTTCTTGGACTCAGTTGCTCAATAGTGAAAATGAGTAAGTTTCCCACTGAATTTGTTGATTTATCATAAGAGAATATATATAAAATTTCATATATATTTCGTAGTATCTTACCAAGATCAATAAAACACAAATTCAATAATTTTTTTAATGACTCAATAGATTGAGTCATAAGCAGAACAACTTTCAAGTCTCAGTCCGAAAAATCTTTGGAATCGACTAGCACAAATCGATACAAGATTAGAGTCAAATGAAAAAGAAAGATAACAAGAAAGATATAATAAAAAGATAAAAAATATGATAAAGATAAGATATATACTACTTATAAGATAAAGATAAAAGTAATAAGATAAAAAAATAAAGAGAATATATACAGAGTATAAAATAAAAAATGATAAAATGATAAAAATATGTAAAAAAGATAAAGAAGATAAAAGGATAAAACGATGATTGGAGATCAATCTATTATTGAATACTCACCCTCCACTTTGATTAATCTCCAAATTCATACTACCTAGTAACTCCAGAAGAATCATATCACACTCGACTCCTCTAATCCACATTTGTTTGAGTCTTCATCTCCTTCCCGCCTCTTTTCCACACCTATCAACTTGTTTAATAGACGTATCATTCATTTTTCTATTCACATGACAAAATCACTGCAATCGAGAATACTCCATCTTATCTTCAATAAATGATGCTCTTACCTTTTGTTTGATTGACTCATTTCTCAAACGATTTTTCTAGTACGTTCACACATCCAACGTCACATGCACATTTGGGTCACACTCATCTATTGAATGTGTCATTGTTACACCGCCCAACAATCTGTCTATCTTTGTACTCCCTCCGTCCCTAATAACTTTGCCAAGTTTGACCGGCACGAGAATTAATAAATTAAAAACTTGGTGATTGAGGTTTATGCAGAGGAGAGAGAATTAATTGGAACCACAAATTCTTTACTTAAAAGGGAAAATTTCAAAGTTAATGAGACATCCAAAAAATAAAAGTTGACAAAGTTATAAGAGACAGGAAGAGTATATAATAATGGATGCTTGTTTGCTGTTCGGTAAAATATACACTTATATCAAGATATATGTCAATATTCCTCATGTTTTTACTCACTAGGGTAGTTAACCATAACATCATTTTATTTGCGTTTTGGGTGCTAGAAATGGATTCCAACCAATTCACTTGCCCTACCTTTTTGGATTTTATTTCAAGATGGGATGGACGACAATCTTTTTTTCCAACTACCTACAGAACAAAGCGCTCCAAGCAATGTATTCCTGCACAGACAAGACATAAAAGGGGGAAGAGAGGTATTGAGAGAAAGAGTGGCACTAGGGAGGAAGACCCCCCACCCTTCTCCACGCATCTTCTCCCTCTAAACACACGCATCAATTTCTACAAGTATCTTGAAAAAATCCCAGTTTTCTGTGCTTTGAATTATCCCTAAATTATTGGTTTTGGGACATAACTTTGGGATAATTGATTCAGTATGATGGAGGGAGAGGTGGTCGGAACGTCGTCGCCGTTGTCCGCGGCCGCCAAGGTCGCTGCTTTGAGATGTGGGGTTGAGGGTGGAAATGGGGTCAAGGGCAGTGTTGAAAATTGTTCGAAATCGGTTAAATTCGCGCTGACGTTTTGGGAAATTACTGTCGCCAGCAGCATCGTTCTGGGCTTCGCATTCGGGTTGGTAGGCGTATATTTCACCATGCCAGCTTCTGATTACAGCTTTCTCAAGCTTCCTCGGACTCTTGAAGACATCCAATTGTTAAGGTATCTGAAAAATGAAAAAAAAAACAATGCTCAGATAATTAGCCACAATGTATTTATTTCTGTTTTATTGAAACTCGCATGATCACATGTTTTTCCTTTCTAATTGTGATTTCTGTTATGATTATTGCAATTATTGAACTATTTAAGATTTGTTTTGCAGCACTCAGTTATGTAACCCTGGGCATTTATTGTATTAGGTCTAATTTGGGGATTGAGTTTGCAGTAGGAAAATAAATATTTCTTATTTGAAAAAAACTGTCAATAGGTATTGCTGTGTGATAGTTATTTTACGAGTTATAACTGAGATTGTTTGGCAGTGAGGTTGATGAAGTGTGATATAAAACTTAAAATGCTTTAAAAGAGTATATTAAACTCAATACAATTCTTTAAATGCAAAACTGCAAAAGTCTTCATGGGCTGACTTTTGTGTTCCTCCGGCGTGAAACTGTAATATTATGTTTAGTATTATGCATGGACAAAATGAATTTTATCCCACCGGCAAATATAATCCCCAAATGGGGCCTTTCCCTTTATCGAATAGTAAAATTTCCTATAATCTGCTATCTTATTGAGTGTTGGAATTGACTATTAAGTAAGCACATTTTAATTGCAATATGTAAGATTTTTGAAAAGAAAAAGAAAAGATAAGAAAGAAGAAACTGATACCTTTTCCTGGTCAGTGAGATGGACACATTTCTGTTTTAGTTGGATCATCAGACGGAGATTGTGAAGAAATAAAGCAATAAAGGGAATTGTTAGGCTGGTAGATGAGCAGATCAAGCTTTTGTTGAAACTGTGTAAATCAATTCATCTTTGATACGGAGTACAATCTTTTCCTTAATAGAATTGCTCTGCCTGCCAATTGGAAGATCGGAATTTATAGGGAAGCAGAAATAATGAATTGGATAAAGTACAATGGTTTATTCTAAGAAATTGCTACAAATACGAGTAGAACATGAGTTATGTGCATAAATAAAACTATCCTTAGTTTTCTTCTAAAATTGGATTCATTTAGTTCTAAAGAATGAGCCAAAGTAGCTAATAGTTCTTTTTCTAGTTTTTTTGGGATGGAATGTGTAGATATGTTTAAGTTCTATTTATGGAATTTTTCTAGCACATCTTCTTAGAATTTAGGTGATATAGAGACATTGTTTTTTACTGTTAACTTTTTTCCTATAGGGATCAACTGGAGAGCTATACAAGTGACTATACTATGCAGGTCCTATTTGGCTACTGTGTGGTGTACATTTTTATGCAGACATTTATGATCCCTGGCACTATTTTCATGTCTTTACTTGCTGGGGCACTCTTTGGAGTCTTTAAAGGTGTATCTCTAGTTGTGTTTGCTGCCACTTCTGGTGCTTCATCTTGCTTTTTCCTATCCAAACTAATTGGTCGACCCCTGGTTTTCTCTCTCTGGCCTGATAAGCTGACATTCTTTCAGAACCAGGTGATTTGCACTGCTGTTTGATTTATTATATCTTTTGCTTGCTTGTTTGATGGATAAAACTGCTATGCTAAAAGAATACATCAAATGAATACCATCAGGTGGCGAGGAGGAGAAAACGGCTGCTGAACTATATGCTTTTCCTTAGAGTTACACCAACACTGCCTAACACATTTATTAACGTTGCTTCTCCCATTGTCGATGTGCCTTACCATATTTTCCTCCTGGCTACATTTATTGGCCTTATTCCTGCTGCTTATGTTACTGTTCGGGTAATTTGTCTCCACTCGTAGATTTTTCTTTCGCTTACTGTTTTATAATACTCCCTCTATTTTTGTTATTCATTTTTTATTTGCTCCATATTTGTTTTTTAAAAGTTAATATTATTTGCTTCGCTTTCTTAATTAGGGGACTTCAATCATATCAGAATACATAAAAACCCTTAATATTTTCAAGTTTTGTGCCTTTTCAGCTTCTCTCTGCTACTACTAATACCCCTAAAATGTTCTTAATAAAAAACAGAGGGATTGCAATTACAACCATTTCAACTTTTTTATTTGGGTAGTCCTCACATTCATTAATGTATGTCTTCTGTAATCATTGAAAGTCTAAATAGGGGGAATTGCATTTTAGCATATGTTTGGATGGAGGGGTATGGAGGGTTTTTCTTAACGGAGTATTTTTTTTAATAGGAAAGTGTTTCTAAGAAACAAAAGGAAAAAGGTTCTTGAAATCTTATGTTAATCTTTCAGTTTATGTAAAAACAAAAACAAATATCAAATACAGGCTAATCCATCCATCCAAACAGACTTTTAAACAACAAAGCATGTCACGAATGAGATGTTATAATGGTTTTGCTGTCAATATCTCTGCCTAGCCCACGAGTCCCCACCTAGTTCTTCTTAAAGAGCATTAGTGAAATCAATATAATTGGAATGTCACGGTAAATGTTTTTTATGAAGTTATACTTATATTATTATGCTAATAAAGTACTCATCTTGTTATTATCTGGTGTGGTTCCCAACATTATATGTTAATGCAGGCTGGAATTGCTCTTAGTGAGTTGCAATCTTTGGGCGACTTATACGATTTCAACTCCATAGCCACACTGTTTCTTATAGGAGCAGTGAGCATCACCCCCACATTAATAGGCAGCAAAAACAAAGCATAATAGTGTCCCTTCTATAATAATTCCATCCAAGCATACCGTGTGCGGCTTCATCTCTGTACAGATCACCATTTGAACGGATGTAATTGTTCATTTGGCTTTTAGAAGTCGGTAGATTGGTGTACTGATAAAAACTCGAACCTGGATGGGTCTGTACATGAATTTAAGGGTTGAGTATATCCATATGATTCTTTATGAAGCTGAAACTGCGCTCCAAATGTTGTATATTTGATTATCATCATCGTTAAAAGAAGAGATTATCATCCACATTCATGTTTATTTATAAAAATACAAATATATGGCGTTGTACATTGGGGAGGACCCGTAAAAACGGCGTTGGTAATGCTTCTTTGTAGTTTGTATTCATTGTTGTGGTAACGACTCTATTTGCTATGGTGATGGTGGAGGGTGGTGGTAATGGTGGCGGTCTGGCGGACAACCAATGACGACGCTCGACAAAGGTTGGGGGTAGTCAATGTGGCAAGTCGACAACAGCATTGGAAGATTCAAATGGCAGTGACCAAAACCGATAATGGTAGTGAATGTTTGGAGTATTTTGGGTAACGGGTTAGAATTTTTTGGGACAAACCGGTGGATAAAAATAGAAAGTAGCCACCATAAATCTTTTTGCATAGTTGCAATGCACAAACGATCATAGATGTAATGGCCCTGGTTTCCGCCATCGGCACCGCAACCGATCATAGTTGTAATAGCCCCAGTTTTAGGGGTGAACTGTGACGGTATGGCAGGGCTACATTTAGCACAAGTACAACTCAGGACTAATATTTGTTTTGGTAGAAGGTCAATGTCCTGAGCTAGATTTTGGGCTGTGCTAACTGTAAAAAAGTAAACATGTTTGTAAAAGATTATGAAATGGTGGCTTGAAAAATGTTAAATTGCATTAAGAAGATCAAATTTTAATGTACACTAGATCTTTGAATAAATTATATAAATATGTTTTTATCACTTCATTTTAATCATTTAATTTTTGGATATGTTATTTGATTATTTTTAAGAGTGCTTTTCAATATAACTTTACGTGCAATTCTATTTTGATTTCCCATATTATTTGTCAATTCTAAAATAATATTTCATCAATTGTTGGACCCTTCATTTTCCCTTATCCCACCATAGGTGGGAGCCTTTGCGGCACTGGGATAATGACAATGAAATGATTATGTCGGACCCTTCAATTTCATTATAACCACGAAAAAACAACATATGATCTAACAAATATTTAGAAACATCAATTAAAGCATTTAACCAGGCACAATACTCATTTCTACTTTACTTGTAAAGAAAGAGTAGCGCTAATTGATTGGCCTGATTTCATCAAATCATCACATCCATCTTTGTTTGAGAAAGTCATCATCTTTATTAAGTTGACAAGCAAATTTTTCAATTTTGATCAAACTAGAAAAGACTTTACATCAATTGTGTTATTTCTTGCTCAAATTTCATAGTTATCTCTAGACATGCAACAATAGAAGCAAAATACTTTGTTTACTTTTACACTATATCTCAACCAATTCACACATTGATCAAACTACAGATTTTAGTGTTTAATGATCCTGGTCGGTTGCTTTCGGTTCATATTATGCATACAGCTTTGGTTGCGGGGTGCGCTGGTTCCATGGCTATGTATGAATTAGCGGTTTTTTATCCTTCCGACCCTGTTCTTGATCCAATGTGGAGACAGGGTAAATTTACGCAGCTTCTTTCCTATAAATCATCGAGGATAATCATGCCCACGAGGTTGACATGGTTTTCTAAGTATCAAGTAGTACTACCTAATGAAGTTGATTTGAACACACCTTAGGATCCTCCTAAAAGGAAAACAATCCAGAATATAATCCTCCAAAAATGGAAATTTCATGCCCATATCCTTTTCTGTGCATTCTAAATTTAACCAGATGAAGTTACTTTTTTATAAATTTATTAGCATTGTTCAATCTGCCCATAAAAATAATACTCCGTAGTACCTAACTCGGCATATTAGAAACCACATAACAGTATTAAAAACTCAAATTATTGTTTGTAGCAAGCAAATTTCAAGTGGTTTCATTAGCTGGGACATGTAAATGTATTTAGAGTACAAATTGCATCATAGTTAACAATTGGGGTATCAAATTGCATCATAGTCAAACTCTCATGTATGCAATTTGTCCAATCATCATCAAACTACTAAATCTAGTCAGCATTGAAAATGTTTTATCACATTGCGTTATACTACGTAATTCTCATTCAAATATGTCTGAATTGAATTTAAATAAGATCATCATCACTTCATCATATTGAATTGAATTTAAATAAGATCATCATCATCTTCATCATAATATCCGGGTAAAGCATAAAAGAAAATCAAGCTCTAGGTAGGTAGCATGTGACCTTAAAACCACCCCGTCATTTACAATGCAAATGTTACATAACTATCTACTAAACCCACTATCTCTTTGAAGAAGCAGGCTGACATTAACTCATCCTGGACATTTTTGCATTTTGTTAATCATCATCCACCTCTGGCTTGACAAAGAACTCAATATAAGCAATACGGCTGGGGAGATGATAGGCAGCAGAATCTGAATGGGTGTGTGAACTTGCTGGTGGTCTTGCAACGGAGACTAGATGCTGAACTTTCAGCATTCCAGTTCTACCCATGGTGAGTTTACTTCCTCTGTTATCCTTCAAGACACTGCTAGGTATGTTCGAAGTTGTTGCCTGAAGAAATTTGTACTTGTACCTGTTAACAACATCATGGTCAGGGATTAATATTCGCTCGCCATTCTACTTCTGAAATATAACAATAATCACCTTAATTACTACAACAATAATAATAACAACAAAAATGATGGTGATGAAACATTATAGTAGAAACAGTAACAGTAATTGCTAACAAATGTAATAGAGGTTAAACCGGTATGAGACAAGGTGATCACAATGAAACGCAACAAGAAGATCAGAGGTATTGCGTTGCATGAAGTCTATCTGCAAAATAACAGACAAAAGTTGAATCTCAATCTATATGAGCGATAAAAATATAGAATAGTAAGTGAAGCTTTCAGTTTTTTCGTACTCTAAGATGAGTGAATTACCTGTAAGTCACCATGGCCTTGGGCCTTGAAGGTTACAGTTGGGGGGGTTGGTTGCAGTGTTAGCAGAATGCTTGACCCAGGCCATTCAAGATCATCTATAGCTTCCTTTAGCGCTGCAGACTATCAATTTGAAAGCTTTGGTTCGTAAATAATCCTCATGAGATCATCATTATCATTACCCTAGTGCCGCAAAGGCTCCCACCTACGGTGGGGTAAGGGGGGTCGGAAATCGCGTCAAAAATTGCATGGGCTGACTGTTGCTTCATAACAAAGAAGCACAGACTTTGTGATGGAATATTTCAAAAGATGAGATGAGCACACTAAGGGTCTATTTTGATGGAGGGTATTTGAGGGGAAGGTTTTGGAGCGCTTAGTCTATATCATGATTTATACTTCATATAATTTAGTTTTTTTTTTTGGTTTGAAAGATTTACAAAATATGTTATCATAGAGCAGTTGAACAAAAATGGATGTGTGCGTCCAAGTGATCAAAGTTTTTAGGAACAAAATGGATGTCGTGGTTCTAATTGAATAATGTAATGAAAGTACCAGCAACTATGAATGTTGATATCTTATGCCACCATCTATGTTCTAATTCACACGATTGGCAACTAAAAGTTTACCTTGACGGTAAAACTGATAGGACTACTCCCTGCAGGTTCAAAGTGGCAGTCCCATGGCAATGTCTCGGGAGTCCGTGTTCTGATCTCCGCATAAATGCAAGCATTAGATGAATCAACAGATCTGACCAAATTTAAAAAAATGATGTTTCAATTACTCATGAAAGAAGCAACAATTCTTATACAAATTATGATGTTCATCAAGGGGACTTGATGAGCCGCCTCGCACCAACCTAGAATTTGCTATTATAAAACCACACATGATTGCAGGAGGAGTGCTACTTAGGAAAGGTGCCTGATATGGGGGGAGTCTTGCATGCACAATAGATGCTTAAAGGAACAAAACCCACATTAATTTTACAAGTATTATTACAAAGCACAAATATACCAGTAATACACATACACCCAATGAACTAATTAGGACAATATGTATATATATGCAATACGTTATTTTATGTTCCTTCCAATAATAATTCCATTTGCTAGGATCAATTAAGAGTTGGAGTTCTACTTAAAGCGTCAAACTAATATGACTAGAGCACTGCCTTATACCTGGCCAGTCTGTTTGTAACTTAGTACCTGGCCAGTTAGAACATTCATGAGTTCAGGGTTAATAATTTTCATAACCATCCACATCCAGATTTTGCAAACTGTGAAAAAAGCGCATTAGGCATGAATTTGTCTAGAATACCTATTCCAGATTTTTTAACAAGGAAAAACCTTTGACAAAACATACTTGAGAAGAAGTTCCATATCAGGCCCTGGGTAACGAAGTTCAATAGTATTTGGTTTTCCGGGAACCGAAAATGTACTGAGGCAATCCAGAAAGAGCCCTAAACTCACTCCGAATCTCTGTGTCCCTTCTGAGTGGTATACATACTGAGTAAACAACTGCCCAAACGAACATTAAATGTTTAAATTACATAAAAATAAGAGTAAAATAGAAAGAGCTGATGAAAAGTCGGAGTAGATTTAGATATAATTTCCAAATAATCGCTTTGGTGACGATTACTACATTACTTCACCTCGCGTTGCAAATAAACTTTTCCTTGAAGACACAGGCTTTCCTCGACGATCAAAACTAGTCCGTACTCCGATATCTCAATGACGGCGTCCTGGTTGTAAAAGTAATAGAGTCAACGACAATTTGAGCCCCAGAGGCGTGAGATCAAATGGCTGACCTGATAGCGCTTCCAGCGAACGGATGTGAGAGCGTCGACAACGCCTTGGACGTTGTCCATCCGGCAGACAAGGTACGGAGCGGCCGCCGTCTCCACCGCAGCCGACGAACTCATCCTACCTTCCGTCTCCTGTTTTCCCGCCAAAATGCGAACCCTACCGGCTACCGGGAAACTCAAAACAGCGGCAGGTGATATTTTGTCCGAAGTAGTAATGAATTTCTGAAATTAAAATTCCATTGAAATAAAGTTGAATTAATCATCTTCCAACTATTCATGATTAAGAACACATTATCATCATTGTTAATATAAATAAGAAATCATAATTATAATTTCTAGATGGTAATTGTATGACTCACAATTAGCCCTAATCTAAACAAGATTATATTTTCCCCTATAAATAGGAGTATTCTCTTTCATTGTAAAGACACCATTATCACACTCTCACTAATATATTTATCACTAAGTGTTCATACTATACTTTCTCTTCCTAATCTTCTGCTTATTTTCTTCCATTTTATAACACGTTATCAGCACGAATTTGCTCCAAATCCCTGAAACATCATCTTCCCAGCAGGTATATTTTTTCACGAATTTATCAGCTTATTTGAAAAAAAATCAGAGGTTGAGAAGTATAAATATGTTTAAATGTATTCAAAACTATAAGAAGTATGCTCTATGGTTGTTGCCCAACCATTGGGATCCTCCATATCAGAAAATTATAGCTATATTTTTTGTAAAAGAAGATCGAAGAAAGTAGATACCTCTATAGTAATATGTTATGGAAATGAAATATGCTCTTCTTTAGTACTCCGTATATGCTTTACGAACCTGTCAGAGATTTTCTTGCACTGAGCTTCTTAAAAAACAGAAATTACAATACGATGAATTGAGGTATATATGAAAGTATCAGAATACTGTTTTTCGAGTAGCATGGTGTTTCATTACATAAATGAATAAACTATGAAGTGATATTTGTAAATATATAAAACCTCTTCTGATTAAAAAAATGAGAAGATCAGAGTAGTAAAATAGTTCTACGTGTGGTGTTTTCTTATACATAGTTCTATATTACTCATGTATCTACTACATACGAAGTATGTAGTTTATTCATAAGATAAATCATGAATTTGAATAGATAGAAGACTAGAGGAATGAATCTATATGGATGAACTATGACATCTGGAATGAAAAGATAATACTCGTATGATAGAGGAGATATGGTTTAAAACCTAAATGCAAGAAACTGATATATTTCTTATATGATAGTATATGATAGCTATACTCACGAGTCTCTGAACATTATCTTTCCCTTCACATGCAATTGATAATGAACAACCAGCCAGCATTTTGTACTATTTATCTGTATTTTTATTAAATGATGCTTTGTAGTACTATCAGATTATAAAAACAAAATTGATCTATTTATTTCAAACTAATAATTAGAAAACAAATAATGATGCAAATTGATTGAAATGACATATTGGTGGACTCTTCAACTCAATACGGAGTAAGTGATAAATTTTGCTTATACATTACATATCATGGCTACACATTATTCACGGGAATCAAATTTTTCTCGCGGATTATTGTTATTAATATACTGACTTATATTACGTACGAAGTATCACGTAGTTCGTATTCATGAGCAGTGGAACCAAAAATATCTTGGGCTTTTCCAATATCTTCCAAATAATTTACTACGTACTCCCTATTATTTCTTATTTATTATTTATTTATAGCAAGACAATAACAATAAATGCACCTCTAAACATGTAAGGAAGTCAATTATTGTTTTCTTTTTACCACCTAACTCATGTCTGTGAATTTAGTAAAGTCACGTGGTTCAAAAGAGGTATAAAACGGAGTACATTACTACTAATAACTCATCTATATATTTATGAGTTTTAGATAAATTTTGAGATAATAAATAATACTCCGTAAAGTTTAAGAACGGACGAACTAAAATTGTTTGAGAAATGGGCTGCTGGTTGAATATTGTTAAATCCAAGACATTTGTTCAAATTTACTTAACAATATAATCAACGTTTCAACAACGTGCTTCATTCAAACAATCTTTCAAAGAAAACATATGAACACAAATTTGGTACTTTAAGGACCTTTGGTTATCGAGTTGCACGTCTATGATTGTTAAGAAGGGCCCCTTAAACAATTGGTATGACAGTAACTTGATCCAAACGGTTATTATGTTTGTTTCTGTCAATTGCCGGGAATAACCCCCTATAACGGCACTAATGATTGATTTTAACCTCAAATGATGAGGTAGAAATGAATATGAAGTAAATATGTGAGCTAAATTACTTCTCTTATTAAAAGTCGGAATAGAGTACCTCACTTTATTTTCTCCTTGTTATGTAATACGGAGTATATTTTAAAATAAAAATTTAAAGTGCTTATTTTTAACGTGAAAGTTATGCGTAATTAAATGTACTATTAAGTGAAGTACAATTTATATTACAATATTTAACTAATATTTGTTCATTTTTATCTTTTTTAAGATATGGAGTTAACTAAAATTTCTCCAAGTGGCTTTGAACAATGTTTGATAGACAGTGCCACAACGCACACCATTTTGAGACATAAAGATTATTTTTCTCATATGACATTAGTTGATGCTAATGTCAATACAATCTCAGGTGTTGCTAAACTCATTGAAGGTTCTGGAATAGCCTGTGTGATTCTCCCAAAAGGGACAAAATTAATAATTAAAGACGCTTTATACTCCAGTAAATCATGGAGAAATCATTTGAGTTTCAAAGATATGTGTCTAAATGGTTTTCACATTGAAACCATGTCTGAAAATCAAAAGGAATATTTATGTCTAACGACAAATAGATCTGGCAATAAATACATTTCTGAAAAAATGCCAGCATATTCCTCCGGACTATATTATACATATATCAGACCAATTGAGATAAATGTGGTATCTAAAATTAATGACCACAATTCCTTTATCTTGTGGCATGACCGTTTAGGTCATCCAGACAGCACTATGATGCACAAAATTATTCAAAATTCACTTGGACATTCATTAAATAATGTCAAAATTCCACAATCAAGTGATTTCTCGTGCACTGCCTGTTCTTTTGGTAAATTAATTATCAGGCCATCTTTATACAAAATTGGAGTTGAATCTCTTGCATTTTTAGAAAGAATTCAAGGAGATATTTGTGGGCCAATTGCCCCTCCGTGTGGACCCTTTCGATACTTTATGGTGCTCATTGATGCATCAACACGTTGGTCACACGTTAGTCTTTTATCAACTAGAAATTTTGAATTTGCAAATCTCCTTGCTCAAATTATTCGTTTGAAATCACAATTTCTGGATTATTCAATAAAGAAAATCCGACTTGATAATGCAGGAGAGTTTACATCCCAATCTTTCAATGACTATTGCATGTCAATTAGGATTGATTTGGAACATCCAGTCCCACATCTGCATACACAAAACGGTCTTGCTGAATCCTTAATTAAGCGATTACAATTAATTGCTAAATCATTATTGATGAAATCCAGATTACAATCATCTGCATGGGGATATGCTATAATGCACACTTCAAATTTAATTCGGCTTAGGCCACTGCAAAATCCTTAATTGTTCTGTGTATGTACCAATTGCTCCATCTTATCGTACTAAAATGGGTCCTCAAACAAGGCTGGGAATTTATGTTGGTTTTAAAATCATCCTCAATTATTAATTATTTAGAACCTATGAGTGATGACTTATTCACCGCATGGTTCGATGACTGTCATTTTGATGAGATGGTATTCCCAGCCTTAGGGGGAGATAATAAAGAAACGGACCCACGTACGAAAGATATTACTTGGAATGCAACACATTTATCTTTTCTTAATTCTCGCACAAATGCTTGTGAACAAGAAATTCAAAAGATCATTCATTTACAAAATGTTGCAAACCAATTGCCTGATGCTTTCACAGACTCAAAGAAAGTGACAAAGTCACATATTCCAGCTATGAATGCTCCTTCTCGAATAGAAATTCCTGCGGAGATTAGCAAAAGAACTCTTGCTAATGAATCTATGATACGTAAAAAACGTGGTAGACCACTTGGTTCAAGAGATTTGAAACGAGATAAGGGTCAGTTTGGTCCTCGAAGTTGCATAAAAGGGGTCAAATAAGTCCTTATAACGTCCTTACTGTTCGGGAGACGTCATTTGGGGCGGTTCTCAAGGGATTTTTTTGATAAACATTTTTGAGCATCTAATTAATTAAGTCTAGTTTACTCATACCAAATTTCAGATAAAATTTAAATCAGGAAGGAATTCAAATGAAGTCTTCAAGATAACTGCGCAGTTAAAAGCGCAGTTATCTTCAAGACTTTATTTGAATGCCTTCTCGATTTAAGCTTTGACTGAAATTTGGTATGAGTAAACTAGACTTAATTAATAAGATGATCAAAAAATTTCATCAAAAAATTCCACCGATTACTGCCTCAAATGGCGACGGCCGGACAGGAAAGACGTTATAATGACTTATTTGACCCCTTTTATGCAACTTTGAGGACCAAACTGACCTTTACTTCGATTTGAAACCAAGAAAATTTAAAAAGCAAGATGTAGTTTATGATGCCAAAGAAGTAAAACCTTCTCAAGAAGAAAATGAACATTTTGATCATATCGACATTACATCAATAATAAGGATACCTCAAAAGAGGATCCAATCACCTTTGAAGAGGTAAATATTCCAGATAAAGATACAAACGTTGAAAATTTTGAAATTTCAATCAATTGCGTTTCTAATGGAATGCAATGGAATAGAAAAGATATTGATGTTAACGATATATTTTCAGATGCCATCGCCACAGATATAATGAATGAACACGATGACAATGAGCCTAAATCTATTGACGAATGTCGTCGTAGAAACGATTGGCCAAAATGGAATGAAGCGATTCAGGTAGAACTAAAATCGCTAGAAAAGCGTAATGTTTTTGGACCAATTTTCCACATGCCAAAAGGCGTAAAACCTGTAGGTTTTAAATGGGTGTTTGTGCATAAACGCAACGAGAAAAATGAAATCGTTAGATATAAAGCCCGACTTGTTGCCCAAGGTTTTTCTCAAATGCCAAGAATCGATTATGATGAGACGTATTCTCAAGTAGTTGATGCTACTACTTTACGATTTTTAATTGGCATGCCTGTTTTTGAAAGGCT